GTGGTCAAGCATTGGAATAGGCTGCCCAGAGAGGTGGTGGAGTCACCATCCCTAGAGGTGTTCAAAAAATGCATAGACGTGGCACTTTGGGATGTGGTTTAGTGGGCATGGTGGTGTTGGGTCGATGGTTGGGCTGATGGTCTTAGAGGTCCTTTCCAACCTTAATGATTCTATTCTAGTTTTACTTTCCTTAAAAAATAATGTAGCCACCAAGCCAGGAAACATGAAATTAATTATTACTCTGCCCTGGTGGAGTTGGTAGTGTTAGGTTAATGGTTGGACTGGATGATCTTAAAGGTCTGTTCCAACCTAAATGATTCTATGATTCCATGCTTTAGTACACATTTTATTGACAGTTACTTGTAGCTTTCAAAATAGTGTTCACTCTTTTACGTCCCTTCTGACTTAGCATTAAGAAGGCTCTTCTGGTGTCTAGTGTATTATTTACCACTTATCCCATAATGAAGTGTGGTATCAGGGGAAGAAGCTATGCCTTTTCTGGGGAGAAAATGAAGAGAAAACAACCTAACAGCAGTGATCAGAGAAAAATGTATATTTTCATCATTTCATCAACTAGACCAGCTGACAGTACAGAGGACAAGTAAGCTGCTTGCATGTCTTTTGATATGCATTTTTTGAGATGTTCATTTGTTGTTTGTCTTATGTTGCTGAGGGTTTCCTGCTGCATACGTGGGCTTCTGTGCATAATGATACTTCTCCATCATTGTTCGTCATATGGCTTTGAGCTCTCCAGTGAGCTTCAAACACCGTTTGTTACCTGTGGTGCTGGATCATTGGATAGATGACTTAGATGTCTGTGCTGGTTTCAGCTGGGATAGAGTTAATTTTCTTCCTAGTAGCTGGCACAGTGCAGTGTTTTGGATTTAGTATGAGAAGAATGTTGATAGCACACTGATGTGTTAGTTGTTGCTAAGTACTGCTTATGCTAGTCAAGGACTTTTTAGCTTCCCATGCTCTGCCAGGTGCACAAGAAACTGGGAGGGGGCACAGCCAGAATAGTTGATCCAAACTGACCAAAGGGCTATTCCATACCATGTGGCATCATGCTCAATATATAAGCTGCAGGGAGTTGGCCGGGGGGGAGCAATTGCTGCTCGGGAACTGTCTGGATATCAGTTGGCGGGTGGTGAGCAATTGCATTGTGCATCACTTGCTTTGTATATTATTATTATTATTATTATTATTATTGTTGTTGTTGTTGTTATTATATTGTTATTATTATCATTACTATTTTACTTTATTTCAATTATTAAACTGTTCTTATCTCAACCCAAGAGTTTTCTCACTCTTACTCCTCTGATTCTGTCCCCATCCCACCGGGGCAGGGGGAGTGAGCGAGTGGCTGTGTGGTGCTTAGTTGCTGGCTGGGGCTAAACCACGGCAATGTCTCTTCTAATTTCTCCCCTAACCATGTTGCCAGTTAACTTTCCACTGAGGCATTTAATCCACCTGCAAAATGAGATTGATTGTGACACTTGGGAAAACGTTTTATTTTGTGATAAGCAAGGGTAAAACCCACCTCTGTGAATAAAGCAGGTGATAATGAATTATCTGATGCATCTTGAGCAAGGTCTGTATTTCAGATGAAGAATTCTGCCACAAGCAAAGCAGTTGTTGGCATTGTGGTCTTTTCTATAATAAACCAAAGGGAATAAGAAGTGTACATGCTCCTTTTATACGTGGTTGAACTTGTTCCAATACCTGCCTGCTCACAGAAGTAGCTGGAGTTGTTAATCCGAACTTGGGGATTGACCACTGCTATACTTGTGGCAATCACCTGAACGCATCCATCAAAAATTGAAAGAAGCAACATAACATGGTACTAACAACACTGGTGAGAATCTTGAACTTCAGACCTGCTCCCTAGTTTGTTTGGAGTTTTGGTGGTTGGGGGAATTTGTTTGTGTTTTGGGGTTTTTTGGTGGGGCTTTTTTGGAGGCTAGAGAGCCTTTGTGGCTATCATTGGTCTTTGAAGGCAAGTCTACTGCCTACTGTGATGACAGCTCTTCACCTGGTCTATGCTGCTTTTATGTGAATGCTGTCTGTTACTGCTTGGATAGTCTGCAGAGTTGTGTGGATGAGGTAGAGATTAAGATGTGAATTTGCCACCTCTTTGAGGAGCGACGTACTACATCTTTAAATAATTCTAAGCTCAGAGAAAGGTGAAAAGTTTAATGTGTAAAAACAAAACTAAACACACAATCAGGTTATTTGGGTATGATCAGAAAGGTCTCCCCTTGATACAGTCGTCATTCATTTGGCAGCACTATCTGTAACTGACATTTTGAGTAGTTTTCTCTGCCCCAACACATGGAGTACCTCATTTGGTTTCCCATTCAGTCAAAGACAGGATTTCCATTTGGGACTCTGCTTTCATTCCCTTAAGAATAAACCTTTGGAGATGTTGGCAACTGCCTGTTCACCACATTTCTGTGACAGTGACGCTCATAATAGATGTGATATTCACTGAAAAGGTTGCAAAGAGGAAAGTGTTCATGTTTTACCCTTAGCATACTGTAAGTTTTGGGGATAAGATTGCTCTTGAGATCTGTACTGTGATTACAATTGTGCCCAAATAGCATTTGTGTCAGGAAGTTAACCTACGTTCCTTTGTCCTCTTGCACAGCTCAGATGTCAGCTGTTTGTATCAGTTCCTTGTCAGCATAGGTCTTTCAAGGTAACTTGAGGCCTTTGTCCTCATGACCAAGAGATGAGGATTTGACTCCTTCCAGTAATTCTGTGGTCGTGGAGAAGGAGGTGTGAGGGCAGGCTGTGCCTGTTGTGCAATACAAACATCTGTGGTAGGATGCAAGGAACTCGCATGATATCGCTGCAAAGGCAAAACTACCTCCTACCCCCGCTACAGTCAGGCTCCTGGTGCTGGCCTTACAGATGCGCACGCATCACGTGCAAGTGGGCAGTGCCTCTTAACGAAAGATTATAAATAAGCAACCTTTTAGCACTTACAGTGTTTGAAATACTGAAGTAGAAAACCAGATCAAACTTTGAAACACATCCTGAGGTACAGCAAACCATTTTTAAAGCTCAAAAGATGCACAATAGACAAACCAGAACTGAGGAAGGGGAGGATTGGCGTAAGTTACAAGAAATGAAAAACTGCCTGTGAGATACGTGAGAGAAAACACATACCCACAGTCTAAGTTGCTCCAGTTTCAAAAAAAAGACCAAAGTGAACATAAATGGGAGGTGAAACACTACGTACATATGTGTTGGATCATAGTATAAAGCAAGGAAGTAGTGTGCAATGAAAAGGGGAGAAGGGAAATAGTGTTTTGGGGATAAACAGAGTTGCTGAGCTATTTGTGACTCTTTGTGATAGTACAGCAGTTGAAGTTCTCTAACTCTGTCGTCTCTTCATAGTCAAAAGTTGCCAAGTGAAGATTATGCTTAGTATATATAAAAGCAAATCTAACATCAGCACATCAAATTGCTGACACTATTGTGTCAGATTGCTTTAATTAAAAATTGTTTTGCTGCCACATATTCAACACAGAGATGTAGCAAATGTGCTTTTCAGAGATTACTTGGGCTAACATCATGGAGAATGAACTTTTTTTTCCTAAAGGATAAGATTTCATTGCAGAGCAAATACCAAGAGCACACTGCTGGCATTTATGTTGCTAATTTTAGGGCCTGATTGTATACAGCAGTCAGCTGGTCTTGTACTCTTGTTAAGAAACCTTAAGTTGCATTTTCGAAGAGAACCTGCAGTAGTGGATGTAGAAAGAAGAGAGAAAATCCAACAGGGGCAAGAAAAAGAAAGCCAAGTCCTAAAGTTTATGTCACTTCATCCTGCGGAGAAGTGAATGGAAATCCAGGAAAAGATAGAAATGGAACATAAATATGAAGGTGAATTTGTAGAAATTATGGCATCTCTCTTGCCACACAGCACAAGAGTACCAGGAATACTCACATCTGTTCAGCTCAGAAAACCTCAGGCTAACTTCTCACCTACTTAAGGAAACTAACTGATTACTTTTTAGGAATCAGTTTAGGTTCGAAGCTGGGAAAATGATTGGGATATCTAAACTGAAGGAAATGCTGCCAGTAAGTCAGATTTAGTGTTACTGCTTATTTTGGAAACTACCAATACCCTTAAACTGAAAGGCACAAAAAAGAAATGTTATCTGAGCAAAGACAAATGTTGGCCAACATTTTCTTTATTTGCTCAAATCCAGTGTTTTAAAAACCCTTATCTTGAAGACACTCTACAGATGCAATGTCTCCAAATAATTCTAACTTTAATGTACAAAAACATACATGCAATCTTTATTTTTAGCTTCTGCTTGATTTCTTTCTTTCTTTTTTGATATTATGATAAAGAAACCTGCTAAAAACCAGCTATACAATACTGGCTTTCAAGTGAGTATATTTTGATGTTGAAGTATTTTATTTTTCTCTTCTAGCCTCTTGTAGTGCCTCATAGAATTCATTCAACAAGTAGAAATGTGAGAGAAGAAAAGACACGCTCTGAAATAAACTGTAAGCATGTGTAATATGACAACATGAAATATTCTTAAAATAATGATTGATACTTATTTCAACTGGTATTCTGGGTCTCTGACATATATAGAAATATTTCTAGTGATACATAGGAAAATAAAAACTTATGCTGTTTCACTGATGGATACAGGTTCTAGATGACTATGCAAAAGAAATATTAGTGTAAAATATTTGAACACACCCTTTGTCAGCACTTCAGCAAATCTCACTATTGCTTCAGCTTAACTGAACAGGATGCAACCTGAGCTCTTCTTAGAGATGATTGATATAGCTTCATATGCCACTTCAGCAAGGATATTCGGAGTGATGCCATATTCTGCTGGGTAACAGAATGGCAGAGGAAGTTTGTGTCGTGTGTGTCCCCCCACCCCCCCTTAATTTAGTATCTTGTTGTAGTTTTTGCTTTTGAATTGAAACAGTGATGTAGAAATCGGGAAAGGAGGAGGTTGATTACTGGCCATTAAAAGCAGACTCCATCCCCCAAATTGTAGTCATTCTTTTGCTAGAATTAAATCAGAGCAGTACTTGGAGCTTTAGTTGTCTTAAGCTAAAATTGAGGGGACGAGTGTTAAAGAGTATCTGCCAAAGAGCTGTCCTAGAAGATGTGATTATCCTTCTCCAAACTTCATTCAAGGCTCTTTAGTGCTAGTGAATCTCCCAGAAGAACAGATCCAAGAGGGAATTCACACAATGGGTGTGGTTTTTCTATAAATTACAGCTGTATTGCCCTTCTGAAGAGGGACTTCATGGCACTGTTTGCTGAATGGTTTTCCTGATCCTTTTAATGAGTAGGTGGGGCAAATGGTGATTGCGCTGCCTTTGTGATAGAAGAGTACTTTCTATGCCCATTAGTTTCTAGCAAGTGCAAGTTCGCTATGTGCATGTGTCAGAAGTTTCTATCAGTGGGGATATGATATGGTCATTAAACTGGATTTTTCTTTTTTGTTAGACTTTGGAGCTAAATTTTGTGTGAGTACAGTCCAACTTAAATTCTTGTTTTCCTTTTCTCCTCTTTAGTTGGTCAAGTAAAATTTGATCCACCCTTGAGGAAAGAGACAGAGCCACATCATGAATTTGTGAGTAACAAGCAGCATGGGCTATGCTCTGCACATTATTCCCTGCAAATGTCTGTGGAGGAGGAGAAATCCAGGATGTGTATCATACCTCCTGAGCAGCATTAAACTTGGTAGTGATTTTTCTGACAAGTCGTAAGTTTTTTGATGCCATTACACTATATGCAGCAAGACCCCTTATTTGTGGGCTCTGCCAGGTGTGATGTATGTGCTAAGCAACAGCCCTTTGTCTTGTGGGTTTCCTCTATCCTTTATACCTCATTGCCAAGTATATCATTCCCTGTATTTATAGAGTTATTTTTTTTAATTGTAGAATTACTGTGTATGTTCAAATGTTTCTCTCCCTTGTGCTTGTATTGACGATGATTGATAATAAAATTGAGAGCCTGGGAAAGAAGTATGACACATTTTAAAAACTTGGATTTTTGTGGGGTTGTTATTTTCCCATGCAAGCAATCTTCCTGTGGCCCTGCATCACACCTGAGCCACACTAAGTCTGGCAGTTGACATACTCTGTAGAGGTGTATTGCCAATGTTTTCTCTTATGGACCCATCAGTACAAGGGGTATGAGAACTCAAGCAGTGAGGGAAAAGGTGTCTGTGCTGTCTCACACACACAATTGCAGTAGCTTCCTCTCTTCTATGAAGACTATTGCTTTCCACATTTGTGCACTTGGGTAGTTTCTTCACATTCCTGGATAAAAAAGATACTCCTTTGCTTCCTTACTGCAGACTTTTGTGTTCTCTTTGTTTTTCTAGGGCAGGTGTTAAGGTGAAAAAGTTGGCTTAGTGCATAGGTGGGAGGGACATTGACTTTCCTCTGAGTTGGTTTTGGGAAGGGTGTGTACCTAGGAATGTACTTCCTCTTCTACAGTCTACAAACCACATGTGAGTGGGACTTGTGATGCAGATTTCCTTGTATTGCTCTGTAGTTGTACTAAAATCTTGCCGGTGCCTTGTCCTTTGGTAGTGGGTCAGCTGGCTCTGTGTGTATGAGGCAGTATATAATCTTGCTCTTCCTCAGCAACTGGCTGGACAGGTAGTCTGCAGTTTCTGGTATGTATTTGAGACAGAGGAGAATGGCTTACCAAATCACATATAGGCAATTATTTCAGGTATGTTATTTAGACCTTGATATAACTGCGTAACAGCATCATTGAGGAACCCTGGTTATACAAGTGTTTATTAAATATGGTCATGAAGTCAGTGTTCCTACCATAAACTCATCAGTTAAAATTATTTTTGAACTGATTCCAAGTTATCCTGGCTTTGCTTCCCGGTTGCATTGTCTGGATTATAAAGAAAATAAAATTGGTAGCATCGTATTGTTCAAATTATAATGCTTTTGCTCCTTAAGAATTTTATTTATTTATACACACAGATAATCATAATTGCAAAAAGATGTTAATGGAGAAGCTGAAGTTTTAAAAATACTTTTTCCATTTCTTTATTGTTTTATCAGTCACTGACCATACAAACCATTTAGTGGACAACTGCATGGGGCAGGAGAGGTGTTTTCATTGCACCTTAGGAACCTGAGCTGCTAAACCGGGGAGAGAGATTTCCTGCAGGAATTAAAGCACAACTTTTGAGAGGACTTCTTTGGCAGGTGTTGCCAGAAGGGAGGACTGGAGCCTTTTCCTACCTTGTGCATTAGCAATCAGAACCTTTGCACTTTGGAATCTCAGGAGCTCTTGCTGCTCCAAGAAGGGACTTGAATGATCCAGATTAATTCTGCTGTTAAGAAAATCTCTTAGTATTGTCTATTCCTGTCAGAGTTTGCATATTTGAAACCTGTCCAAAGAACTTGCCTCACCTCCCTGTCTGTGAAGAAGATCTATAATTGCTTGTTTGGACCTTTCTGAAGAGGGAAATTAACTGTTCCGCTGCTTATATCAGAATGTAGCATGCAGACCTGATCTGTCCTTTCCAGATAAACAGAACTATGATTTTGCAAATCATGATGTTGGGTCTAGAGACGAAAGAATAAACACATTTTGACATTAGATATAGAACCAATGAACAATTTAAATTGGCATATCAAATACAAACGAGATCTATTCAAAGAATGTATGCTCTAGCAAAGAGCCTTAGCACAAAGCAGGCTGAGGGAGAAGTTTGTAATGATCTATACATGGTAGGAGGGAAAGTCTTTTAAATGGAAGCAGGAGCAAGAGATGCCTGTCTCTTGCTCCAGTAATAACAGTGTGGATCCCTTTTCATTAAAGCAATTCTTCTGAACCTTTTGCTTCTGTCTCACTAAAGCATGCTTAAACTTTATGCTTATTTACGTACGGATGTGAGTGCACAAGCCAAAGGACTGGACCACTGCAGCATGAGTTATTGTTGTTGGTGCACTGAGATGTTGAACTGGTACATACTTGCCCCTTACCACAGCTCAGGTGATGAACAATAATTCATTATTTCGGTGCGATTCAGTAGTGTTCGGAAATGTGACTGTACCCGTAGCTGTGTTTTACCCCCGTCCCCAGAACTGTCTTAACGTGGTTTGAGTTTCAACTAACAACTTCCTTTTTAGCAAGACAATTTCCCTTCATATATACCTGGCTTTCAGTCACAATGTAAATAACTTGAGTTTCTTGATCTCTGTCTAATGAACAGTGTGACAGTAGCGATTTTTTGGACAATTCAGAAGAAATATACTACACTGCAAGATCTAACCTGGTATTTTTCATCTTATGCCTTTCTTGTTGGTGTTAGTTTTGTCTTTGTTTTCCATTTTCAAAGCTCATGTTTTGTCCTGTTGTATTGGTGTTTTCATCTGTGTAAAAGCCATTCAATATAAGGATTAGTCTATATGTGTATTTCTGTAATGTAGGAAGGAGTAGTATGTGCCCTATTGAAAGTATTTAACCTGTATTCGTGTTTAGTTGAACCACTTTTATAGAAGGGGCTCAGTATTATGCACTCATTCTAATTTCTTTAACTGCTTTACAATGCATAACTTGCTAATTTTTTGGGGAGTGGTTAAAAATAGAAGAGACATTCTCTTCATATTTTTGTCTGGTAGTTCCTTTAAAAAGTCCCATGAAAGACTGTAAGATTATATAAATGTAAGTCTCTGAATTCTTCAGATGGTAATTATGTTACAGAATGAATACACACTTAATCAAAATAACAGAAGGTGGGATCATAAGTGTTTTCAGTGGCATTTGGCTTCGTTTATAGTTTGATACATTTTCCAGATTTTCTCTTACTGCACTGCTAAAACAATTGGTTGTTAGAATTGCGGTGCAGAAATTACTCTAGAAAGGGAATTTTCTTATTTCTCTGCTCTTTAGGCCCTGTGTAGTTAGAAAAGTAATGCTTTTAAGTCTTGGACATCTTCATATACTGTTGGGAAAAAAAAAAAAGAAGAAACATTCTGTATTAGATGAAGAGCATTATTCTGCTAACTTTAAGATGTTTAATATAAGTTCACTGAGGGGAAAGTGGAAAATGGGTGTTTGGGAATGTCTTATTTTGGGTTTTATGTGATTTTTTTGTTGTTGTTGTTTTGGAATTTTTGTTTGTTTGTTTTGGCATCAGTTGGCTTGGTGTGACTTGAATCTGCCAATACCACAGATACTGAAAGCTTAGACTGTCTTCCCCATTTTTGGAAGGAACTTTCTGTATCGCTTGATTATAACAATGTTTCACAAATTGTTTTGAGATCAGTAGCTTAGATTTCTCTGTATGTAGTGGGGACACCTCCATCCTATGCAGTTCCTCTGTTTTTGGGAGTGTTGTTTTGGTTTTTTGTTTTGGTTTGCTTTTGATTTTGTCTTTTCAGTTTAACACTTTTTAACATCTCTCTTTCAGGTTACTTTCAGTGTTGTCGCATATATTGCTAGCCTAGTATCTGTGGGTCTAAGAAATGAATGGGAACATGTCTCCTAACTGGACTGTCCTTTCCCATCCTTCTTTTGCCCCATGCTGTTCAGCATACTCTTCAAAAATGATTACTATGATAAAGCTTATGAAGTACTATTGTTGTCACAATCATGAGAGCAAATCATTCAAGTCAATCCACAGCACTTTCTGTCTTTCTCTGCTTTCTTCACAACCTCCTGTGCTCATTGTGAATCAAAGAGGAGAGTTCTGATTTGGTGGTAATGCTTTACCATTTGTGAGATTTTTCTAGTAAGGCCTAATTCTTCTGGAAACTAGAAGAAATATTTAGTAGTTGGTTCATTCTTCTGTTGTGGACCAGGGCATGCTGATCAGACTTCTCCTCTCTGACTCTCTCCTTCCCCCACTCCCCCCGCTGCTCTGACAGTATTGAATTCAGATACGTTCAGTGAGAATACTCACTCCCAGGGCTCCTGGCAGGTCTCTGCGCTCCCCTGGGGTTTCCCCAGCTCAGGAAACCCCGCTGTATGCCACAATCCCCAACTCTGCTGCAGAACGTGCCTGCACCAGAGCTGATTGCCTCTGTGAGTGACTGTTGTTGGTGGTTACACCCTGTTTGGCGGTCTTGAATGTGTTGATGATAACTTCCTTTTCTAAGTGATAGAGGAGCCTATGAGGAAAGGTGCTATGCTGGACCTTGTTCTCACCAACAAGGAGGGGCTGATGGGGAACGTGAAGCTCAAGGGCAGCCTTGGCTGCAGTGACCATGAAATGGTGGAGTACAAGACGCCTAGGGCACTGAGGAGAGCACACAGCAAGCTCACTACTGTGGACTTCAGGAGAGCAGACTTTGGCCTCTTCAGGGATCTGCTTGGTAGAGTACCATGGGATAAAGCCCTGGAGGGAAGAGGGGTCCAAGAAAGCTGGTTAATATTCAAGGATCACCTCCTTCAAGCTCAGAAGCGATGCATCCCAACAAAGAGCAAGTCGGGCAAAAAAGCCAGGAGGCCTGCATGGATGAACAAGGAGCTTCTAGACAAACTTGGAACACAAAAAGGAAGCCTACAGAGTGTGGAAGCAAGGACAGGTAGCCTGGGAGGAATACAGAGAAATTGTCCAAGCAGCTATGGATCAGGTTAGGAAAGCTAAAG